CTCACCTTGGATGTCTGTGCCTGAGGACCATTGTTTCCTGAGGGTAGAAGCCATACTAATTCTAATATTCTTTATTCATCCCCCTTCCTAGGAATTCAGGAGATGGTATCTGAATATTTTTCTGCATGCCTTTTTCATAAATTAAAACCTTCATTTTGCTAACATTACTCCAAGAGGATTTCCTGACTGTTCTGGAGGGATATCATCCTTGGTGCTTAGCTATGGTCTGGATGGGATTAAGACAGTGTCTCTGGAGAAGGTGACACTTGTTTGCTAAATTCTCCAGAAATGTCTCTGTGTGAATTGGGTGAAGTCAGTGGAACATAACGAAAGGCCTTGACTAGGAGAGAGACTGGCACGGTGGGAGCTTTCAGAGCCTTAGGTAGCAGGTGGACTTGCCAGATTGGAGAACCATGCGTGACAGCTGAAGACTTAGGATGACAGCCACTGAAATGACAGCAGTCAAATTTTTAGTTAGAATAACCTGCTCAGTGTACAAGTGACCTCTGAGGGAATCCATGTGAGACTATCTGTAATGCCACTGTACATTGCTTTAAATTATCTAAAATGGCAGGCAGTCAATACTTAAGGATTTTTGAAGTGAGTTTGTACTTTGCTTTTAACAACAATGCCTAGGTTTTCACTTTTCTCTTTTTGAGACAGGGTCTCATATAGGACAGGTTGGACTTATATTTGCTATTTATCTGAGGATGATCTTGAACTTCTTGTCCTCCTGATTCTACCCCTGGGTTCTGGGATTCCAGGCATGTACCACCAAGCCCAGTATATGTTGTTCTGGGGATTGAATACAGAACTCTGTGTATTCCTGGAATGCACTCTTCCCACTGAGCTACACCCACAACCCCTGAGAGAGTTTTAAATGAATGGGTATGGGGGGGGGGTGTCATTCAGTCAATGAGCAGGGAAGCCGCCCAATGGGTCTGCAGGCTCCACTCTGCCAGATCCGCTGTCTTTTGTGCCTGGTGTCTAAGGAAAGCTACAGAGCACGGGGAGCTATCTAAAGTCCAGAACAGTCTGATCCAATACTCTCGATTGTCTTCTGCCTTGTCTCAAAAAGTGCTATTCTTCCTGTGAGAATTTGTGCATAATGGAGAAATCTGAGCGATGGGCAGTGGGTTACAAATGGCAGCTTGAGACCTATATGTGAGGAACAGCGTGAGAACGGATCCAATTCTTCATCTCCAGATAGCGAAGTAAAACACAGTAACGGCTAGAGGAACAGTCTAAAAGAGCGCTCTCTGCCCTGGAATTTATATTTGTCACCTGGCACTGCAAAATAATGGGGCCGTGTAGAGAATGTATGGATTAGCAACATTGGTCAGGACCTTTCATCCCTCAGTCAAAGCAATCTGCCCATCAGAGTCCCCTAATCCTATGGCTGTCTCGAGGAAGATGTTTAAAAATATTTATTTGTGTGTTAAGAAAGAAGTAATGTGCACAATCCAATTAGAGCAGCTTACATTAAAGCACTCGGGCTGACAACTTTGCAATGGGGTAGTTTGTACTCAGAGGAGTGGCTTGTTAATGCCAGTAGCTGGGGAGCTGGGAAAATTGTCTTAGCCGCATTTTGAAGCTCGTGGCTCTGGGTTTGTGGAAAGAAAAGGGTTGCTATGTGCATTGACTATTACAGGGCCCAAACTATACTACACTTCCACATACTCAACCCGCTTCTAACAGGGACCACAGCTGGGGCAACCGGTGATTGCTACCCCTACCTTAGGAGAAGGAGGTCACTAGAAGGTTTAACACTTTGTATATTTTATTTTATTTTCTGAGTTTTGTTTAGCAGCCTCTTTTGGGATTGACTCCTGGTGAGTCCCTTCCATGGATCAAGGCTTCACCTGTTGTACGCCATGTGGGGAAGAAATGATTCTTTCCTAGGAAAAAAATGACTTCTTGAAAGAATGCTCAGACGCCAAGAGAATATGTGAGACCATTACATAGATATATATTTGATACAATATGTGATTTCTGTTACAGGTTAATAATTATTCTATTATCAGTAAGAGTGAGTTACATATTACTCAAAGTATTGGATACAATAATCAGAAAACAAACGTAATTGGTCCAGAATTTAAAACTTCTGAGAAAAGTGCTGGCACAGGACTTGACAAACCTCTCATTTCTATTCCATTTTACCCTAAAAAAGACTTCCCAAGTAGTAGAATTAAAAAACAAAACCAAGCCAAGTTTCCTTATATTCTGACGACTTCAGGACAGAACATTTGCCAAACATTATCCAGATTCTTGGATCCTGTGGCGTTTTCCTCAGCATTGTCCTTGCTTTTGTCTATGCTTTCGCCTGTACCTCTTCCTAGGTAGGAATTGAGGTGCTCTTAACACATTGATTATTATGTAAGTACAGTGAGACACAGCATTTCAGACAGGGAGGGGAGTAGGGGAAGTGAGCAAAGACGGAAAAGGTATGTATGTCAGACAAGGGAATAGGTATGAAACGTGTTAAAGTGGATAGGAGTCAGGTGGCTACATAGCTTCTCTACTTGATGAATATGATTATTATTAAGCAATTAAACAAGGTTAAAACCCCAAAGATTCTGAATGTGTGCTGTATTAATCACTCAGTCCTATACGCTTTCATTTAGTGTCCCGGATATCTTCCCGGTGGGAAAAGTCAACCTTTTCGGTTCCAAGATGGTTTCCTGGGGCTACAAGAAGCTCTTCTTTGGCTATCAAGTCCTCTCCTTAGCCACTGGATTTACTTAGAAAAAGTGTCTTTAACACCAGAAGTAGCTTTTAAACCATTCACCATTGGGCTTTGTACTAAGAGAACGTTAAATGGATGCTAGAATGTGGGTAGGATAGAGAGACTCAATGCTGGGGAGCCTATACACCAAGACTTTATATCCCAAACCTACCTAGAGTTCCCTAGCTCTGAGGCTTGGATGTTTGGATGCTCCAGACGGACCTCTCCACTCCCTGCTCTCTGGCACCCACAAGTTCAAGGGGAATGCACCCTCTGTAGTTGTTCTTTTCTCTAATCAATTTCCTGCAGCATCTTAAGATGAACACCCTTGTCCTGCCTCATTGTGAGCCCCGAAAAACCTCTCTGCAAACCCACAGGAAGACAGCAAGATGCACGCTGGTTATCTTTCACACTGGGCTGTTCCTCTGTGTCTCCTAGCAGTGGGCTGATTTTACAGGATCAACCGGTGCTTACTTCTTTGCTATTCCCTCTTTCTGCTTTATTCTCCTTCTCCTTGTGTCCCTGTCTTCCAAATTTGCTAAGTTCCCAGGAAGTGAAGGAAATGCCTGGTAAGGGACTCAGTTTCAGGAGTGAAAGTCACTTACAAATGAACTAGCCACCTACGTAATTTTAAACCACCACTTGTATAATGGCATCGTTTGGCAAATCCCTAGACAGGAGTTCTTACTAGTTTATTAATTGATTTACTAAGGGATATCTACTGCTCTTCAGGAAATACTCAAATTCTTTTTGTTGAAAAGGATTTTACACAGAGAACACAATCAGTCCAGTGAAGTCCATAAATGGGATACAATAAAAACATTTTTTGATTAAGTTCACCTAATGCATTTGAAATGAAAACCTGCTTAAAGTTCAATTTATACAGTTAAGGGTGGTGGTGCTTGGAGTATGAGAAAAGAGAAAAAATAATTCCATACATTTGATTCTGTCTTTCAAAAGGTATCATCTATACAGGAGAAAGTGTGTATATGTGTGTGTGTGTGTGTGTGTGCACATGTATGCAAGTGAGTCTGTTTACACAAACAGCCCTATTCTAACAGACAAACATAAGACACAGTCTCCTCAATTACTCTCAGAAGGATGGTCCCTTTTGCCAATTTGATTTAAATATCAATCTCAATCCAGAACTGTATCAAGCTCAGACAGAAGCCCAGATTACGGGTCAGGTCTGAGGCTAATCGTAGGCTTCCTTCAAGAACGAGAAGCGAATCCTTCTGTGCGCTGACCACAATTTAGTCCCGACATTTTCCTACATCCCAGACCCACTTTCGGCTGTGGCTGTGCTCAGAAGCACAAGACACTAGCACTCTGGGGCTCACACACTAAGTTTCCTACTTTCTCAGGCAATTTGCTCAAGGGAAACTGGAGAGCGGGGAGGAGGCGGGGGGGGGGGGGGGGGGACTTAACAAGTAATTTGGGCTTCTGTCTGAGCTTGATACAGTTCTGGATTGAGATTGATATT